GGAGGAGGCAGAGGAGGAGGGGAAGGAAGGGGGAAGAAATACAAGTTTGGGGAGTAAAATTGAGGAAAAGAAGAACCACTGGGCAAGTTACACACATGTTTTTGTAAGTTTGCCAAAGGTCCAGATGATATCACTGCTGGCTAATTCAGTGACCAAATGACTGGCTAATAAGATCAACACAGGCCTTCTGCAGATGTGAGCCCCTCCCTAAAGGAAAACACACTGAGTAGGCTCTGGAGAGATATGCCAATCATGTGCAAGTAAAACCTAGGACATAGATGTTATCTTCAGTTTTTTCAAATTAGATCAATTTACAAAGATAAGGACCACCCTCCCCAAGTTATATATTTTATTTTCAGTCTTTCACTGTCTATGAACTAGTTCCACTCCTTACTCTTATTTTTACTGGATAGAAACATAACTGTTATCATTCACATGGTCCAATCCAGCGTTGACGGGAGGGTCTGAGAGTGATGCCTGGCGTGGGTCTTACCTGTGCTTTGTTTGGAAGGAACAGTGTGGGGGGAAGAGGGAAGAAAAAAGGAAGGGAAGGAAGGAAACAGGGAGGACGTAAGAGAGAAATCAGATTGTTTTTAGAAGAAGTACAATCTGCCCAGTTCTGCCACAGGCCTCGCCACTCTGTGCCCTCCACTGACTCCATCTTACATTGTCATACGTTTGGCTCCTCCAGGCGGTAATTCCCAAGATGAGTCCCAACTTTATTTTCTAGGTGAAGATCAAGAATCCCAGAAACAGCTGATTAGCTTGCCTAAGGTAACAGATGGTTATCAGCAAAGCAACAGTGAGACTCAGTGAGCTGGCTCCTGGCTCCACATTCTCTTCCTCTGACTACATCATACTCTTCCACAAATTCAATCTAGAGCCTGAACCCCCAAAAGGTTGAAATAAAAAGGGGGAGTCAGCATATAAAATGTATATTGAGCCCTGGCCTGTTTGGCTCAGCGGTTAGAGCGTCGGCCTGCGGTCCGGAGAGACCCGGGTTCAGTTCCCGCTAAGGGCACGTACCTCGGTTGCAGTTTGTCCCCGGCCCTGGTTGGTCGTGCGGGTGGCAGCCACTCGATGTGTCCCTTCACGTCAATGTTTCTCTCTCTCTGTTCCTCTCTCTCCCTCCCACTCTACCTGAACAAAAAAAAAAAAATCATATTTCTTTGTGCCCACCCACCCAAAGAGGCTAGAAACGAGGTGACGAGGTGAATCACACACAAGTACTGACAAGACGGAGTCTGTAGCTAACACTGCAGCAGTAGACTAGACATGATTCTGTTGCTGAGGCTGGGGCGCTGCATTTCTACATTTCTAGCAAGTTCTCACCTTCTTTCCAATATCATATCCCTGCATTCAGGTGTACAGAAATTAAAACAGCCTGGATTGCCCATTATTCTAGTTTCTTTCTGACCCTTCCTTGGTTATACAAACTAGTTTATTTTATACCTCATGGTCTTGTGTTGAATCTAAATTAGAATGATTTGGCATTTGCTATTCTTCTCGCTTACCAAAGCAGGAGACAGCCCTAGAGGGGATGGAGGGGACAGACCAGCATGGCTCAGAAAAGTGTGAGGGAAAGGATGAGAGGGAGAGTGAAGTCTGCCTAGTTCCATGCTGCTCCAGGACCACCAGAGTGAAGCAAGACTTCCAGTCAAGTTTTAAAAGCAAGAACTCTGCGCTTTTCACATCAGAACTTCAAATCCTTGATTTACTATAATACCCAAATTACATTTAAAGCAAATAAACGAGGAAGAAAAATGAAGGGCTAGCATGGAAAATTGTGAAAGTGGTTTTTTTTTTGCATTTTTATGTGGCTACTCCCTGGCTGAATATAAATGAAAGGATATTAGTAATTATTACATGTACAGTTATTTGGAAACCAGAGGAATAACTTGTGAGGAAAGACCAAGAATGCTTATTAGCTTTTTCTCTAATCATGAACTAGGCAAGACATTTTGGGGAAGCAATGGCAGATGAACAAAACCAAACCATCAAAACCAACACAAAACAATACCAAAGAACTTTAAGTTGCATTTTATCTGACTGTATAGTAACACAATTCTCAAGTTATTAGCCACAAACACTCAAAATCATGAAGTTCCCCACATAAAATAATGTCACCATACTTTGTTTATTCAGAAACACACATTTTAACTTCAGGGGAATTATCCTATTTAAGTTATCTCATATGTATGAAGTGAAGAGCTTCTGACTATGCTACGTTTCAAAATTAGCTGTTTTGTTTCCTTCCATGAGCTGTTACATAAATGAAACATGAAAGTTAAAATGTTACTAAATAACTAATAAACTAAGTCCTGAAAACCCATGAAAAATCAGGTTCCACTTCTTGATTCATTGTTAAAACTATCAGAATTTTTTTAAGTCAACTTTTTTCTTTGCTTTATGTCTGCTGTTGGTAATAAATGTTTTCACTATCTTATGTTGTTAAAGTTTATTTATTTATTTTTTAAATCCTCACCCAAGGACATTTTTTTCCATTTATCCTCAGATGGAGTGCAAGGGTAGTGAGAGAGAGGGAGGGAGGGAGACAGGGAAGGAGAGAGAGAGAGAGAGAAACATGGATGTGATAGACACACCAATTGGTTGCCTCCCACACAACCCCGATCAGGGCCAGGGGCTGACCTACAACTGAGGTTTGTGCTCTTGGCTGGGATTGAATCTGTGATTCTTTGGTCTGCAGCCTGGCGCACTAACCACTGAGCAAAACCTGCCAGGGCATTAACATTTATTTTAAAATGTATTAGCATTGAATGAAAACTTTGCACTTTATAATTACTAAAAGCAACATCATGTGTATTAAACATAGTACTGTAACGGTTTGAAATTAACCACTGCATCAAAATGCCTAATATTAAATGGCCTATGATACTTATATAAAAATTCAAAATAAGGTCAAAGGAGGAGGAACATTAGGAGACACGGTACAAAACAAACATTTTTTGCCAACTTCAAAATTAGCAAGATCACTCACATTATCATTGCACACTGTATTTTTCTTGCTTTCAAACAAAAAGCCAGAAGTGGTTATTTCTGTATCTAACAGTTCTTGAAACATCACTAGGGTGATGAAGGTATTCATTAAGACCAATTATTTTACTCTTGCAGTTTGAATACTGAGCATGTTGACAGTTTCTAACACTGCTGACAGATGAGAACAATAAATAATAACTGTTACAAAGTCTAGAGTCACTTGAAAATAAACTTTCTAATCTTGAAAAATCCTCACTTTGCTGCAAGTACCAATTATGAATAGCAGCTAACACTTAATGAGTGCTTGTTAGGTGCCGAGTACTTCTTTTCCACCATAGTAATCTGTAGATACTTTATTTGTTTGCTGTCGTTCTCCTCCACTAATCCAGAGGCTCCAAAGAGACAGGGACTGTCTAGTTCTTTATTGCGCCCTCAGCGCTTAGTATGTCTAATGCATAGTAGGCACTCAATAAATGAGTCAGTGTTTCACATGCTTTAAATAATTTGCTTTTTTATCCTCATCTAAGAACATTTGTTTTTTGCATTTATCTTCAGATAGAGCAGGAGGGAGAGAGGGAGGAAGAGAGAGAGAAACATTGATGTGAGAGAGACACATGGAGTGGCTGCCACCCACACGACCCCAACGGGCCGGGGAGTCTCCAGTCCGCCGGCCAACGCTCTAACCGCTGAGCCAAACCCTCCAGGGCACTTTAAATAATTTTTTAAAGTGTTGGTCATGACCTAGAGGGTTAAGAAAATGCAACAGAATAGAAAATAAAGTGTATTACATCTAGTAGAATAAATATTCTCTAATGAAACTTTCTTTTAGGTTATATATATGCATATGTCCCATATAAAATGTTATTTCTTACTGATGAGTAACAGTAAAAACAAACAAACAAAAACCCCTGAGAATTATTGCTTTATATGAACTATTTCATTTGCTCCTCACAACAACCTTGTATACTACACGATAACAGAACTAAGGTTTCTAGATGTTGTATATGATGTCCAAGATGACAGAGCTATCTACAACTATAGACTTCCCTTCTATAGCTACGCATTCAGAGGGTACCATACTAAGAAAATCTGAATTAAGTAAATAAGGTGCCCTGGCCGGTTTGGCTCAGCGGTTAGAGCGTCGGCCTGCGGTCCCGAGAGACCCGGGTTCAGTTCCCACTAAGGGCACGTACTTCGGTTGCAGTTTGTCCCCGGCCCTGGTTGGTCGTGCGGGTGGCAGCCACTCGATGTGTCCCTTCACTTCGATGTTTCTCTCTCTCCCTCCCACTCTATCTGTACAAAAAATGGAAAAATATCCTCGGGTGAGGATTAAAAATAAATAAATAAATAAATAAAAATAAGGTTTCAGTCATAGCAACTGTTACATGATTATAATAAAGAAAAACAAAGGCTTTTAAAACAGGTCTGACTGAATTTAATGCCTGGCCTCTGCCTCTGTGTGGGCTTTGTCCTAACCTGAATTTCCCCATGTGTAAAATAGGAATATTCATAAGGTTTTTTTGAAGTTTTAAATGTTTTAATGTATGTAAATAGCCTAGGCCACTACATAACGCTGTTGTGATTAAAATAATTATTAGTGTTGTTATTTTTTCCTGGTCCAATAAATTCAATTTAATCCACACACCATAATTTGAATGTGTAAAAAGTGTAAACCAGGAATTTATTGGATTAAAGAGCAAAGTATGGAAACAGGGCAAAAGTGGCACAGAGGCGTCCAAGAGTTTTGCTGGCGATGGTGAGATGGATGCCTATGTTAAGATCAGAGAGTTGGTTGGGGTAACTAAAGGACTCAAGGAAAACACCATTGTTTAACAGTCAAAACAAACACAAACTATTTCATCCTTCCTAAAAATCACAGCAACATCCGTCTTCTTCCTCCTTGCTGAGGCCGATCCGAGGTGTTTGGAAAGGCACCTGGCCAGCTCCCGCCCACTAGGCCCTGGTACCGAGGGGCTTTGGCACAGAGGTTCGGAGCAACTCACCCCGGAGACTCCGTTGGTATTGCCCCAGAATCTCCTCCAGGGTAGAGTTCTCCGGGGACTTCTCCATGCACAGACTCGGGACCCAGAGATGGGAGTTACGTGGGACAGTGTCCAGTGTTGTCCCCTCCGAGAACAGGAGGCCTTAGCGCCCTGGCAGAACCCGCTGCTTCCTGCCGCGGCTGTCAATGGGGAGCCTGGAACCCTGGACCGAGCTCGTAGGGGCTCTTCCCACCCACTGGCCCTGGAGGATGACGGGACTTGTGGTTCGCAGACTCCGGCCTGGCAGTCTCGACGTTCCCGAGGGTCCGTCCAACGACACTACAATCCCCAGAGGGCACCGCGCGCGGAGCGCAGGCTCCGGCCGTTTAGTTGCCAGATCAGGTTGCCAAGAAATTGCTTGGAGGCTCCGCCCTTTTCCTGGCCAAGTCCTGCCTTCATCCCATCCTGCTGCTTGGACCACCCAACGGACAGGGATCACTGAAGACCTTGACCCTTCTAACTTTGCTTGTAAGCACTCGATCCTTGAAGCTTCTCAAAGATACAAATAACAAGCTCTACACTCTTCAGCCACGACATTTGTCAAAACGGCCAAATAAATTCTCAATTGAAAGAAGTTCTAAATCTTACGCAGAGCCTAGACTGCGAAAGGCGGCTGACACTACAAATCCTAGCATGCCCAGCAAGCCGACCGCCACTTGGAGTTGGCGCGCTGCCCGCTGGGAACTGTAGTCCTTGTTAGTTGCGGTCCCCGCGAACGCCGGGGTCCTCTTCATTGTTCAAGCTGGTTTTCGAGGCACGCTTGCGCAGTAGGCAGCTGGAAAAGCCTGCGGGTGAGACCCTCTGCACAACCCCCTTTCATTGTCTGTTTGTGGCGCCTGCGCAGTAAGAGCTCGTTGGGTCTGAGCCGGCGACGGGGATAGGGCCGGGCTCCTCGCCCTTTCCCCAGGCGCCTGCGCACTGGGCGGCCGCTCTTTGCCGTTACCGCTATGTGTGGGGCGTGTGTGGAATAACGTTATTGCCCAGCGGAGCTGAGAGGCCGGGAGCTCGATCACCGCGACGACGACAACGACAGGGTGGGGGGAGCGCGGCGTGCGAGAGACTCACGGGACGCGACGCGCCCCGCCTTCCCCGTCCGGTCCCTCTCAGCGGTGAGGGGTAAGTGATGCGCTCAACCGCTGGGGTTAGGCTCCGCCGCCGCCGCCGCCGCCGCCTCACCACATCCTCCTCGCTGGGTTTGCAGCGGGATCCGGCCCGGCCCGCGGCGGGGCGGGGTGCGGGGTGCGGGGCCGGGCGCTCAGGGGGCGCTTCCCGGATGCTCCGCGCGGCGCCGCCACCCCCACGCACCCGCCTGGGCTCAGCGGGGCCGCCCCTCCATCCCGACCCAGCCGTCCCCACCCCGCCCGCCTGCGCCCCGGCGCTCCGGCCCCGCCGCCGCCTGCTCCCCGGACGGGTCGGGGGGTCTCGGCGCGCCCGGCTTTGTGCAGCCCCCCTCCCCGTGGCCGCGCGAGGGGCGCGGGCGGGGCCTCGCAGGGAATGGCCGCGCTGCCACGGGGAAGCGACTTCCCCGGATCGCCGCCGCTCAGTGCCGACCCCTCCTTGTGGTCGGCTCTGGGCCGTGGGCTGGGGCGCGGGGTCAGGCGAGGAGCCTTGGGACGCGGCTGGAGGACGTGGAAGACGCGGTGTCACGCACCCTGCCAGGCGACGGCACCCCGCACGGGCTCTGGCTCCGTAGTAAACCCGGGGGAGGAGAGAGTGGCTTCCTGTGGGCTTCATTGTCCCAAGATTCAAGTGTGGGGTTTTGCATGCCTGGTTCCTTTCATTTTATTGCCCAAGGGAACAAAATCTTAGCAGCTGACCTAACACTGGGCGGGAAGACGCGAGGTTTGTATCCTAAGTCAAAGAATCTCTGGTTTTTGGGGTTTTTTTGTTTTTTTGTTTTTTGTTTTTTGATGTTCAGTAGAGTTTTATTTATTCGATTGAAGAATGTAAGCTCCAGGAAGACAGGGACAGAGCCGGTGCGAGCTTTGCCAAGGTGATCGATGTAAAATTGCTAGATGATGAAGCAGCCTGGACCAGGAAGGGCTGCCGAGGAAGCTATTGTGTAGCTGAGAAATGAAGCAGCAGAATTGTTTTTTTAAGTGGGTGTGTAATGCATTCATGTTCCTAAGTGAATAGATGAGGATAGATCTTGCCAGGTTTTTTTTATTTATTTTTAAAGCAATCAGAGCTAACAAAAAATAGACCTGGTACGTTTCTGTTTCTGAATTTGTTTAATCATATTTTTATTCTCTTTATGAAAATCCACTCCCATTTGAGAGGAATGTGGTGAGGCAGATTGAAAATGTATCTTTTAAAATGATTTGATCCTTCAACTTACAGTGCTTCCAGCCCTGTGCGGGTGATAGAAAAAAGCAGAAGAGAATGAAACAGGATGGGGAGGAGCAGGTGGAGGAATAATGTGAGAGGAGGGAGTTATATTTTGAATACAGTGTCTAGATCTTCACTGATGAAATCCTACTTGGGACTGCTTCCAAGATTTAGAAAGTCAGCTCTGGAAATATTACGTTGCAAGTTACAAACCATTTTGTATTTTTCTGCGATTTTTTTTTTTTTTAAGTTACAGTAGGACTGCTTGTAGTTCTTCTAACTTTGTAGATATTCCATGATTTTGCTGTTTTAAACCTGAAGAGTCTGAGTGTGCTTGACAGACAGAGGAAGACACTAAAATTTGGAAAGTTAACTAACTTGTCTTTTCAAGCCAAACTGCTAATGAAAGGCAGAGCCAAGTAAAACCAAGGTCTGTTCTACAGAGCCACCCTGTCCCCTGTGTCCCGCAGCACCCCCTCCCCCACTTGCACTGAAAGCTTTTCTGTGGTCAGTGACAGTCAAGTTCATCACCACCCTAGTAGTATTAATTGGATCCTTTGTAATGTAAAAATGCTACTACTGAAGTGGAACTTTAGTTTTATAAATTAACTTGATGTAGGGAAAGATAACATAACATGGACTTTTCATAAAAACAGGAACTTGGCATTTCTTTTCTTATCAGTTAATAGTAACCATATTTTAGTATTTCCTGATATTCAGTACTATTTTGTAGTATGATCAACTCTGAACTCTGTTAAAAATAAAATTGCCACATAACAAGAGTCTGTGAAGTTCATTTTATATCAATTAATGAATTATATTATTTTAAATAAAAATTTACCTTTTGAGAAAAAAATTTGTTGAACTTTTTATCAAAATTAAATTTATTATTTTATTGAGTTGATTTTGCCATAAAGTGCTGCTTTTGTTGTCTTATAATTTTTATCCTTAAATTTTACAATTTTACTTTGCACTTAATAGACTTTTTTTTTAAATCCTCACTGGAGGATATTTTCCTGTTCATCTTCAGGTAAAGTGGGAGGGAGAGAGAGAGAGAGAAAGGAAGAGAGAGAGAAACATCGAAGTGAGAGGAACACATTGAGTGATTGCCTCCTACACAACCCTGACCAAGGTTAATAGACTTTTAAAAATAATTTAGCCCTGGCTGGTTTGGCTCAGCAGTTAGAGCGCCGGCCTGTGGACCGGAGAGTCCTGGGTTCGGTTCCCACTAAGGGCACGTACCTCGGTTGCAGTTTTTCCCTGGCCCCGGTTGGGGTCATTTGGGTGACAACCACTCAATGTGTCTCTCTAACATTGATGTTTCTCTCTCTCTCTCTCTCTCTCTCTCTCTCTCTCTCTCTCTCTCTCTCTCTCCCACCCTGTTTCCCTCCCACTCTATCTGAGGATACATGCAAAAATGTCCTCAGGTGAGGATAAAAAGTAAAAAAAATAATAATAATAATAATTTAGCCCTGGCCAGTTTGGCTCAGCGGTTGGAGGGTCGGCCTGCGGTACAGAGAGACCCAGGTTCGGTTCCGCTAAGGGCACGTGCCTTGGTTGCAGTTTGTCCCTGGCCCTGGTTGGTCTTGCGGGTGGCAGCCGCTTGATGTGTTCCTTTACGTCGATGTTTCTCTCTCTCTCTCTCTCTCTCTCTCTCTCTCTCCCACTCTGTCTGAACAAAAAATGGAAGAATTGTCCTCGGGTGATGATTAAAAAAAATAATAATTTAATGTTTCTCTGAAATTTCAACTAAAAAATGATCTAACTAAATTCGATATGTGGAATTATTAAATCATACTTGAAATGTATTTTACTGGTAAATTTCATGTTGTTCTAAAATTACCTTGCAATGAAATAAATAACCATCAGCGTGTTTGTTATCTTAGTATTAGTGAAATTTACACTATAAACTTATTGTACATTATACCTATTAATACAGATGTCAGGGTACTTTAAAACATTCTGTGCTTAGTGATTTAGTTTATTTGTTCCAAGTATCAGTTTCTTGTTTCCTTTCATCACTGGAAAACAAACTAGTTTTATTGTTACATTTGATAGTAATCAGATATCTCTCATCTAGTACTGAATACTGTGTATGTTTAAAGTTGTCAACATGTTTTTTATTCAACAAAACCTATTCCTGAAAAATAATTTTTGCTATTTCAATTAATGAATAATGTTTTTTGTCTTCTCTATAGGGAACACTAACAGTGTTAAGCTATCCTAATAAATACCTTATAGACAGCATGATACTAAATTGCCAACTAAAATACCCCTTCAGTTGCAAATTATACTGTAAGTGTAACAAAAGAGTAATTGCATACTATCAGAAAAATCCTTCCTGGATACATAATGTTGACTGGAGAATTAAATGTTGATGTGTTTCAGTAAGAAATGGGTTTCCTCTTATGGGGAGAAATCTCAGACCATCTTTATTTTATAAACTTTTGTTAATGACCAAGATTTCTAATAATCAACTACACTTGGTGGAATGGGTTTTAATTTATTGGTGTGTGTGAAACATTGATGTGAGAGAAACAGACACACTGATTGGCCGCCTCCTCCACAACCCTGACCAGGGTCAGGAATTGAACCTGCAACCCAGGTATGTGCACTTGAGCAGAAATCGAACTCAATGACGCCCTAACCTCTGAGCCAAACTGGCCAGGGCTCCTCATATATTTCTTGAGGGACGTTCTGAGCAATGAGTTAGCCAATGTGAGCAATACAAAAGATTAAGAAAACATCTGTCTGGTGGTAAGGTTGATAAAACTGGATGTATGGTCCAGAAAGTTGAAATGGCTGGCCAAAATGAATGATATAGCCAATATGTACTGACGGTAAAGCTTACTTTTATGCCAAACAAAAATAGAGAGGAAACCAGCCAAAGTAAGATTAGAGACAACCTTATAAAAATTACTAACATGCAAGTAGGGATTGTAAAATACATAGTAGTGGAAAAGAATACCAAGCGTGCATTAGGTTTGAAAATTTGAAAAAAATGTGACATAGCAGAGAAGTCATTATTTAAGTATAACAATTATTAATAAGTAATATTGAAAATATTACCCTTTTGGACATGATATTTATTAAATAAATGAATAATATCTACCATGTATTGAGCACCTACTAAGTGCCAGGCAGTGTGTGTGTGTGTAATTCATGCAATAGTCCTATTAGTGAGGTACTATTTTCCACATTTGAAGTTGAGAATATTTGAGACCCAGAGTTAGTGGATAATTGTGTCTCTATGTCACACATGACTAAGTGATAGAGCTTATAACTGAACTTCTGAACTTAAGTCTTTTGTACTAAAGCCAAAATTCCTGCCACTCATCTTTTTCAGTTGGTTCAAAAGGCAACATTTATTTCCTTCTGATTCACAAAATTTTAGAATTAGAGGAGATTTTGAAGTCTTACCATGCCTACTACCAATATCCCTGAGATGTTATTGAATCCAGCTTCTCCACAAACAACACTTCAGGGAAAAAAATGGGCGTGGAATGGCTCACTTGGTTTTCGAAAAGTATGGAAAGATCTTACTTAAACTGAGCTAGTATCGGCTCTACTATATATTTAGTAACTCCTTCCCACTGGTTGCAGTTCTGTCTTTATGAGTGAGTGCGGTAAGCTTTTCCTCAATTTCCTGGGTCCTCGCTAGGTCTTCTCTTTTCTAAGTTGAGTACTACAGCCCTCCAACCTCATACAATACAGTTTCCTTTACCTTTCCCGTCTCTGTCAGCTAGATTGGGTCAGCGTTGTCAGTGCTGTTCCCCTTCTGATCTGGT